TTACAACTGTCAAGTAGAATTAATGGACAGCATCATTTAACTATTTCGGTAGTCCCAATATGCAGTTCCTAAACTGAAATTGCGGAATCTAAATTGCTGTAGGCTAGGATCCTGCGACGTCTTTTTTGTTTGACTAGATGGTTTCTACTTAATGTCTGAACTAATATAAAAAGTTGAAGGTTGAATAGGCGAGGGGGTATAGCTGTCAGTTGTGAGGAAGGATGAACTGACGAGGAAGTGTGGAAAGACGTCAGGCGTCGCATGAGGTAGTGGATATTTTATGCCACCGAAGAAAGTCTATATCGTGGAGGATATGATACTGACGTAGCAAATTTTGGAAGAGTGACTGGAAGACCTGCAGAGAGACGGAAACAGCTTCATGGTGTGTGGAGACTTCAGTTCCTCAAGGGCAGCGACACTGACTCACACAATGTCTGGTGTACCACATGTATATCGCTCGGATACTGACGAAGCAGGGAGGAGCTGCGGCAGGAAGTTGTAGTTCGGTGATTTATGATGTTTACGTCGCTTGGCTCGTGAAACAGACGATAACGACAGTAGTGAAAGCCCGTGCCTGAGATAAAGTATGTGAGATATGGTAGGAAAACAAATATATGTTTGATGAAAATAATGTAGTGTAGAAAAAAAATACCGAGATTGAGTTCCTCTCCCCTTCCCCAAACACACAGACACTTGCCTCTCTTCTAGCCGCGACCATTTATTCAGCGACGCAATAAAACTATCTACAGCCATGTCTATGATCATTATCTATCCCGTACTCGGCCATGCAATCTTATATCTCTCCACACTACTGCCATCACTAGCTCTTCCTCACCCCACTCTACACCCAGGTCACCCCATATCCTATTACCATCAGGTCTTCCCAAGCTGTATCACCACCACTTGGCCTCCCCACTCCTAAACGCCGCTAGAACCTATTCAGTTATTGTCCCATGGTTACACTGTTAATAGGGATATGAATCAAATTGCATATTCATGAGGCTGCTGGTTGAGTGGCTAGAAGTAAAGGTTCCTTGCATGCATCAGAGACCAATCACAATAGGAGAACCTGCGCATTACAGCATCGTTCAAAGCAGTTCTGAGAATGTTGTCCATCTCATCCACTTCCTTCAACATTATGAAATCATTTTACGTATATCCGAGGCTCGGAGGTCTGGCAGTTACAGTTGGGCAATAAAAATACATCATTCGTATACTAATGTGTATCAACTGACCTGGAAATTTGTCCTTGTCTGTCTCAGTGGCTCTATCCCGGTATCACTGTTATTGTGTCTGTTTGGCAATTTTGTGAATTATAAAGCCATCTATCTGCGTTTACTGTGTGTTCGTCCATCAAGGCCTGCTTCGTTTATTTCCTCACAGATTGCCCGTATGCTTAATATACCTGTGAGTCTGCATTTGCCAGTGTCATAACTTACCATAGCTCATGTGTCTGCATGTAATACGAACACAAAGTTGTCTATTTTCCTTCATTGTATCATGTTTTTTTTATTGCGGGAGGAAATAACTGGCTGCGTTGACATACTCGACGTGTGTGTAGCTCATTACATTACCATAAAATTTCTAAACGCGAATCATGTCGACCACTGGTCATGTACGGTACGTACTGTACACCTGCTGACGACATGAAGGTATGAATTTTCTTCGTATACATGTGAGAAAATTCGCCCATTGACACACTGACAGCCATTTTTAAAAGGATTTGAGCCTTGCCATAAATGAATCGGATCAAAGTGAGTATCACATTTCAGCCTGTTCTTGATAAGGTTCGTTCAAGATCAAATTTATGTAAATAGTACTGAACATCTTTATACTTACTATGAAGCCAAACTGTGTGTGTGAAGGAGAGGAAACAATCCTTTGTATATGTCAGTGCAGAGAAAGTGTACCGTATATAAAAATATGTGAAAAAGATATAATCCACGTTCATGATTATTTGACTGAACAAGAAGAAACATAGAATTGTGAATATACGTCGTGTTACGAGTGAGAGTTCAATGGTTTGTTGTAGATTTGCAACGTGAAGGTCTTTTGTTTGTGACGTCATTTCTGCTCGCTTTGTTTACCCCCGAAGCCGCGTGAGTCGTGACCCAAGTATAGGGCCGGCAGTGATAAGTTAAGTACCTCCTTCCTTATTGTACAGTATATTTCTAGTGGTATAACGTGTGAACCTTGCTCGACTTTTAGAACACAAAGTATTATATGTGAGGTTGTTGTTAATCATATTTTAGAGTTCCACGGAAAATAACTTACTTATTTATGAGGTTTCGTGTGGTGGATATACCACGTTGTTCATGGTAGTGGTTAAACTAAATAAGTGTTTAGTCTTTACTTTTATGTTCATTATTTTGTCACTCGGTTAAGTCATTTATTTGATCAGATTTAGTTTGTATTTGTTTATTTTTGTACATAACTGATATATTTGTTTTATTGTTTGTTAATATATTCTGTAATTAAATCTACTGCATGTATTTTAATATACCCCATAGTAATGAGGTGATGATTTTCGTGGGATCTATTCCTTGGACCTATAATATAAAGAGAAGTTGAATTTGTGATTTTGTTACAACCTAAGAGGCCTAGGGTCGTAACACGTCGGTACAGGAAGGAACTTCAGCATAAGCATTACCAGTAGATAAGTTTGAAGGCCTCCAACTGGACGGTGTAAACAATTTATACCATTGATTCAATTTTGTATTCTGATCTACTGTAGTTAAACAAGGGAACAAATGAACTAAATAGAAGCGGCCAGATGCTTTCGTCACAGTACTAGCCGCAATCGACTCAAGGCCACCACACAGGTTTTATGGTGCCCGGTCAGAAAACAAGGAATAAGGACATAGTGTTCAGTAAGGTGGCAACTTTGAGGTGAGAATGAAAACGTTGTTGAAGCTGTTAGTGAATACTGTTGGCAAAATCCTGAACATATTTCCATTAAACACGTGTGATTTGAGTTGTTCCTACTCGCCAGGTCACCCGCATCTCCTTACCAAATTTCTGCTGTATCTTCAAAGCTGGAAATGAAAAAGGAACATAATGAATACTGTTAAGAATATCAATATGAGGATAACTAGGTACTGGAAGACATAATATAAGTGTATATTCGAAGATGTAAGTGGCCATTGGAAGATCTAAGTGTAAGTAGATACTGTTGGAGAAACGTGTACGTGTAAAAGGAGGGAAATGAGAGTGATTATAAGTATATATTGACTAAGGAATAAAAGTTTCAGTACAAGAGGGTATTCGTGTATTCATGAGTACGTAGCCCCCTCCCGCCCTCTCCCTCCCTTCCTTTGTGCTAAGCATGTGTTTATTTAGCGGAAGAGGGCAGACTCGGGTACGTACCACTGATGTATTTTACTATTTTGCAGCGCATGACCTTTCACACACCCTTCCAACCACATACACACGCTCGCCGGAACACGCATTTCTTCAGCAGTAAAAGCCCCTTCAACCACACATGGCTACAACAACCGACACCTCCATCTGCACAGTCATTCAATTTCAAGCTTCAACATTCACGCATGTCTTCAACGCTGAGCTCTTTCAGACATGCATACCTTCAACAACAAACCCCGCCAACCACACGCACACACACTAACATGGCACACCTCCAACCTTATGTGCAAAATTCAAACCCTACACATACTTTAGATTCGAGTGAATGTAGACAAATTGTTATTGGCAAATAACAAATACATTTTAATTAAACAAACAAGAATATCGATAATACGAGGTAATGTCTGAACAAATTAAGGAAACAATAAGTCCTCGTAACGATGCAACGAAACCTACTCGGTAAGTCTCTTGGGTCCAGCCAATGAGTTTATCCTTATTGGGTCCAGCGTGGGTGTATTGTTATGCCTTTTCAGTGAACCAGCGTGCAAAAAAATATTCATATTTCTTCGTCCCTTGCATTTTTACAACCAGTTTATAAACCTCCGCCCACTTACTAGCCCTATCAAGATCCCACATCCCTCCTACCCACCTATGAGCCTTCCCAAATCCTGTCCAAAGACTATATATGAAAGATCGGAAAACTCGAACGAAAGCTATTGAATTAACCATGAGCTGCAAGGCCGGAATCGGTGCCATCTATCGGCAAGGCCCCAACTAAAAACTCGCTCCAAGGACGGCCAATCTCAAACTCCATCTCTGCTTCTTCTGTTATTAATAATTATTGTTACGTTCTCTTAGTTTATTAACCATTAACTTTTTTTTACTCGACAAGTAAATCGTTCAAAATGTGCTATGTATTGTAGTTAGTGATATAAGTTGAAGGAAGCACAGGTAAGAGATTGATTTACTGGGACATTGTATTATTTTTCTTTATATTAATTACGGTACTTTTTATTAATGTACATCTAATATCACCATGACAAATTATTAATATGAATCATAATTTAATACTTTTTTGTGTATAGGCCTATGTACCGTATATGTACAGGTATATGATTGTGAATGGTATTAGGAATTTCTAATCAAAACATGAATAATACATAAAAGAATTTTACTTAAATGCCAGTAAATTTTTCCTATTATTTTAACAATATGCGAATAACATTAATATTTTCCAGCGAAGATTATTAAAACAAGATACAATTCTACATCAAGATATTTGTGTTTTATTGTAGAACTAAAAATGATACTTTTCGTGGCTTCCAAAACTACATTCATCCTAGCTACATTTATATAGTTTTAATTATGCATTATATATACACTCAACTGTTCCTCTTGTCGATGAAATATAAAGGTAGGATGAATTTCTTTGGATGTTCCACACGGGAACACAGGTGGGGCCAAAGTGGGGCCACCGATGGTGACGTATTCGGTAAACAGAGACCATACCAACGCCAACTGCCTCAGAGGCCCGTAACTAACGCGCACACCAAAAGCTCAAATTTTCCTATCTTTCATGGATACTCTTTGGTCCTGTCTCATCCCCCGCTCGTGTTTAGTTGGGTACCACTTAGGCCAATATCAAGCCTGGAGCAGACGACGCAGGACGCTCAGACAGACAAGGTCGGAGACTCGGAGACGGACCTCGGAGGGTGTAAACTGTAAAGAGACAGTTCACCTCTGCCTGCCGTGGAGTGAAGGTGTCGTTTTCTCTCTCGCTCACATACTAGTTGAACTTCCGCTAGAGTACGAGGTAAGTCTCACTCATTTTCTTGTTTACGGGATACAGTGCATCGTTAGTGGCCTCATAATGTTATTAATAGCGCCTTTGGCTGTTGATGGTGACGTACGGTGCCTCCAGTAGCCTATCAAAATGTATTCGGACAGATTATGATCGAGTTGGATGATCTAAGTACAGTATATTATTGGCCACTATGCACTCATCCCCCTCTCCACAATGTTAAGTTTCATAGAACGGTGAAAGGATGACTCGAATTTCAATTTCATGTTGTGATATTAATTGGGGAATAATTGCCAATTATCAGCAGTTTGGTGGTTCTTGGCTGTTTTTCTTGTTTATTCAGGTGTATGTATAGTCCTACGTTAATAGTTTTTGCTTGCATATCCGTAACTTAGTGTTGTTTGCAATTTACAAAAAATCATGAATTGTAAATGTAATTGTTGCAGGAATACTTAGCGATTAAAACCACCAAATAGATCACACACACACACACACACACATATATATATATATATATATATATATATATATATATATATATATATATATATATATATATATATATATATATATATATATATATATATATATATATATATATATGAACAACTATTAATAGGTACTGAAGGTCATTTTCTGACTCGTAAAAAAATATATACAAATATGAAAATGTGGTTTTAGGGAAAACCCTTGTTTATTTACCTTAGTTGACTCGGTAAGGTGACGCGTGGTATTATAACCCCGTTATTGTGAAATCTGAAACCTCAAGTTGCAGGGAGGAACTGGGTGAACTGTTAATGAAATACCTCGACTGACTACCTACAGTATACTAATATACGGCAATGCATTTAGACATTTTTATTATAATTAAAATTAGTTTTCATATGTAAGTGATAATTAAATATATTGAAGTCAGTGGAAGTAATGGCCTATACATTTCATAAACGATCAAACATGGTTATATAGCAACGAATGCAGGCCCAGTACCGGAAACGAGGAAATGCCGACCACGAATATACCGGTGTATTCTGCACGCCTCCTCGTCTCAGACAATTTGGAATATATATACAGTATACTAGGTCCGACACACACACAAAATGAGACTGATGCTGTATCTCTTTTTATTTGCCAAATTAAGAAAATCAACGGTGATCGCCTTCAAAATAGTTCCCTTCTGAGTTGACACAGCTGCAAACGATGCTGCCACAGGTCAAAGCAATTCCGCAGATCATGTTCTGTAAGGCTGTTGAGCTACGTCATTTTTGTTTTCACCTCTTCTACCTACAAAATATTGGTTCCTTTGAGCACGGACTTGATCTTTGAGAAGAGGTAGAAGTCGCAGGGAGCCAGGTCTGGCGAATAGGTGTGGGTGCTCAAGCACAGTGTTGTTTTTATTGGTAAAAAACTGCTTCATAGACAAAGCGTTGTGGGCTGGCCTGTTGTTCGTCTGACAGCATTTCTTAAAACTATTTTTGCACAAACCCTTGTCATGTTCAATTCTTCCGTTAGAATGCATCGAACACTTTCCGTGTCTAAATTAACTGTCAGCTATTGCTCAAACACCCAACCTACGGTTTTTTTTTTCTAATCGCATCTCGCACTTTTTCAATGTTGTCATCGGTAACTGCTGTACATGAACAGCCTGGGCGGTCATCATCTTTCACGGTTTCTCTGCCTTCCGAAAATCGTTTGTGCCGATCAAAAACGCGTGCACGAGACATGCAATCTTCACCGCAAGCCTCAGTCATTAATTGAAAAGTTTCCGTCGCGGATCTCTTAAGTTTAACGAGAAACTTGATGTTAACTCGTAGCTCGGTTTTGCAGTCCCGACCTTTTCCCACCGAGCGTAAGAAGTTAGAACACGTCTATACTTCAACACGCGTCCACTTATACTGAGTGAAGCGATTGAGTTGAGCCTTGTCACACTGTGACAGGTTAGAACATGTTCAATAATCGTCTGTTTGTCCCTCCCCTCCCACTCTTGGTTCCCGAGTTATAGGGTCAGTCTCGTTATTTTTGTGTCGGGCCTCGCATACTGTATACACTAATTACCCGGCTTCTCTTGAGTGGAGTGATAGGAGATAGTGCATGACCGTTCATTCCCATGGCCATATGCTCTTCCCTACCAAATTTCAGCTCTTCAAAAATGTGGAATTGCATAAGGCACTTACAAGCACACACACACACACACGTGCGAATATGTTTAATATTGGTAGGCGAAGTACTTTTATATCTTTGATGTATGACCGCCCTTATAGTAAATATTAATTCATATAACCATCTAAGTTTGGTGGAGGAGGTCTTACTACAAGAAATATTTTTCGAGGTTCATTAAAACAAATTTTTTAACCAGTTTTAGATCGCTTTAGCCTAGTCAGGTGTGATTTGGGAAAGCATTTGTAGGGATTAATGATTAAGTTTAAATAAATAATGAATTTCGAACCACGGACAAAGGTCAAGTGTGTGAACCATGATAATGCATCTGTAAGGTTGTGGGTGACCCTAGAACTGGCTATGTTAATCTTTTGTCCAAAATAACTGTTTATGGCGGCAAGCAAGAACCAACTATATTCTTAAGTTAATCGGTCTATCCTAGCAATCTTAAGGGGTATAGCCTGTGTTCCGTGACGCATGCTGCAGTTCGGCTTTGTGCGCTTGGGGGCTGTTAAAATTACAAGGTGTTATGTATTTAAATTTGCATACTCTGTTCTAACAAAAAATGGGAACCAATTCGAATCTGTAGCTGTTTCCTGGTTTGTTTTAATAGTCAATTTGAAAAACTAATTCGGCCTATATATCTCAAACCCAACCAATTTTGACTTAAGTCATTAAAAATAAATGATGGTTGATATGGGACATCGCTGAATTAGCGCGTCAGATTTGCTTTTGTTTATATAGAAATATTTGTCAGAAGTCCGTTTATATAAATCTTAAATGTACAGTACACTATCCTTGATTCTAAGGATCTTCAGGTAGCCGTAGAAAGCTTTCGCTGGCTTTGGGGGACGATGCCTGCGTCAATTACTCTCTTGTCACCAGCCCCGCCCTCATGCTAGTTTTGCCATCTCTGCACTTTGTCACCAGACCTTTCCCCCTCTAGTGTATAATGAGGTTCCACATTACTAGTCTAGTCTCGCATGTAATAATTGATGAGCGTCAGTTCCAACACGACGTCTGTCTCTATAAGTTTTTTAGCGTATGTGAAGCCCTTTAAACATGAAGTGGGAAGATTGATTGTTTAATGCATTTCTTTATTGTTTGTAAACAATTTATAAGAAATGCTAACTGGTATTTATAATGTAATTCACAATGGTCAATATTTATGAACAAATAAAACAATTAAATAGTTTGAATACTCTAAATAAGATACTCTCGTGTTTTTAACTGCCTGATATGCCCCCAAATTACATTTTTGTGTATGCGTGTGATAAAGTCTGTGCTTCTTAAACACACCTAGGGTAAATAAAGTTCAAAATGTCAGGAGGTCGCTGCTGAACCGTCATAGATTTCCCGAAAACATCTTTTTAACTTATTCCCGCCTGTTTTCAACTACTGTATAGGTAAACTGTAATACCCCGGGCTAGGCAAGGCCTGGCCCCTGCTTCGCTCAGTCCAATCTTATGGTTCAGAGCCCGGCTTTTGAAACGCTAAGTTATTCTAAATGGAATAAAGATGCACTTAATCAAAGTAGAGGCTTAATAGAAAACTGGCGTATTTTTTTTTTTTGTGTATCGGTTTGAGCCAGTTGGTTCCATTAATTAATAATAAGTTAGTGGAAAGGGTTTAGCGAACGAACCTTAAAGAAAAAGGTTCCAGGTTTGACCTAGTGCTACTGAGGGATTGTAGGCGTAGGCGCAGGTCACCACTTATGCATCAGGAACCTATATCTACGTGCATTATTTTATGGCTGCCTGCCGAGTGCATTTAGTATTCAGTTTGTGCAAGCATACACGTCCGTTAGTTTAATGTTAGTGGGTAGGTTGTATGCTGTATATTCGTACTTTCTTACTTTTTTTTCTTAAACTTAAAAATTTTACTTAGGTTTTCCGCAGGCGTATAATTATGATCTGACTCGTGTCCATACGTTTATGTACAGTACACATATCTTTTTTGTCAATGAGTTATTTTTACTCGTGATATTTTAGTTTTGGAAATATTTACATTATCAGTATATTTTGTTTATCCGTATGTTTATTTTTTCTGTCTTTATACTTATGTAAATTATTTAGTTATTTATTTTGTGGTCGGTATTATTTTGACTGGAATTTTAACGCGTTCAGAACTGTAAACGAAATACACCAAACTATAAAGCAGCGCTCGTTTTAGTGGTGCACAGTCAACAACAAAAAATTCTGCACCTTTGTGGTGGTAAACAATATGACACACCGGACCAAGAATTCTGAACAACACTCATTTACGCCGGTGATTACTGTTAGTTTCTCTGTATTAACTATGTGATATAAAAATGCATCATACTGGTAAAACGATGCATCATACAACCGGAAATACCAACCTTACCAAATTAACATGGCCTCAGTCCGTGATCGCTGCAGAGGCTCCAAGGGGTGCAGAACATTTTTTTTGCTGGCTGTACGCGAGTAATGTTGTACGCATTAGTAAACATATCATTAATTGGATGCACACATCATCAGTGGACAAATGAACAATGATGTACAGTATTTACGAGTATTCATCGTTTACAAAAGTATTTAACACACGTCGTCATGCAGAAAGCTCACTACCTACACCGCATCAAGGTCTCTATGGTTAACTAGTCGGAGAAAGTATTAAATATTCTATGTAATCTACCTTCCTAGCATCTTTACGTTATTCCTTGATCTTCCGTTGAAATCACTGTACAAATTAATTTAGTAAGCCTGTAAATATTAAAGTTATTTTTGTTTATAAAGAAATCAGTGTTAAAAAAACAGTTTATTTCGTATATTATTGTGTATTGGAAAAGAAGAAAATGGTATTGATGCGTTGTTATCAGACCATTACTAATGTTTCTT